GGAGGCTGAGCTCAGATCAGACAGCCCAGGACTTCGAGGCAGGATCACAGAGGTTACAGTTCACGCAGTATAAAGCACTACAACAAGACCGAGTCACCTTGACTTGTCAACTCCAGAGTTGTGCACCATCAATCTCCCTGCCTAGATGCACAGCAGCGCTCTGATGAGAGGTCAAAGGTCAGCTTCACGAGAGAAACATCAGTTTCAATTATACTCAGATTTTTTTTTAGCATAATTCCATATTTTTCAAATTTCTTATTTTCGGTGACTTAACTGCATTAAATTCTAACTTATGCTTTAGAATTCTAGTACAACAAAACATTTCTAAATTATTAAAGCTAGAGAGGAAACAATTAGTAGATTAATAAATGTGTCAATCAACAGATAATTAAAGGAAAGTATTTTGACAGTTAATCAAGTAAAAAGGACAAACATTATCTTGTTTCAAGTTCCAGTGATGATTTTGTTTTCATTTTAATTTTGACATGTCATCTTTTTGGGGTTTTGGACTCACACAGATCAGTTAATCTGAAAACATTACATTGAACTTGACAAATCAAATGTTTAATCAATAAAAATAAAAATGATAATTAGTTCCAGCCCTGACTCAGACATTTAAAAAAAAAACAGAACTCTGATGACAATATCAATAATTAAGATTTAAACAATCAAACAATAAAATATTGGTTATTAGAGAATAAATCAATTTGTCAGTGCTCTCTGGTTTGTCTCTAAATGACCTCAAACATATGTAAGATACATATTTCTACTGCATATTACTTACATAGTACTGTATACATATGTATAATAAAGATATTTTACACTCAGATTTCAGGGGGGATGCAGGGTACACCTCCAATAAAGACATGAATATAGCAGAGGACTTTTATTTTGACAAAATAGACATGTTACTCCATAATTTAATGCAGAGAAGGCACAAATTGGTGCATAAAAGATCACCACAGTGCAGGAAATTGCAGGAATTGTTGGATGCTTGACAAAATTCTCTTGTGGAGGACCCCGACCCCCCTTGTGTTCCATATATGTGCCCCCCAAATGTTGAAGCAAAACTACGCCCTTGCATACACGCACCAAATGTTTAAACTTAATACAGCAAACATAAAAGCTGCTGAATGTCTGGACCTTCCTCAGTAACACCCGAAACCTCCTTAAGAAGAAAGGTTGTCTAAAACCCAGTTAAGGCCCCTGGAATCCCTCAAGCACCCCTGGATCTCCACTTTAAGAGCCCCTTTGCGCATATGAAAGCGTTTTGCCGCAGCTGGCGACCACTTGTCACCGTCTGGAGAGGCAGCGGAGTCACTGAGCGAGGAGCCGGTGAGTGTAACAGAGCTGGGTAACTGGGCTGAGTTGAGGCCACTGAGACGGCGGCGGTGGTTGGCGGTGGGGGGAATTGCAGTGTTGTTCTCCGACACTGAACTCTCAGCCCTTTTGTACTCGGCTCTCTCCAGCAGCCGGGCTTGAATAGCTCCAAAGTGACGCCTCCATGCTGCTTTAAAAGCTAAGTAGCACAAAGGTTGAACGAGGAACTGAGAGAAATGTTCACTTAGTCGACATCTGGGCCGGGGAAAAACACAACACTCCAACACTCTCCACGGCTCCCACTTGATGGCCACACAATGCACTTGTCCGAGCGCGTGCAGCCTATATCTGTGTGTGTTCAGTCGCGCAGCATGGGGCCATTTGCTCGAATGCCTTTGCTACAGTAATTGAATTAATACCGGGCCCGCTCTTGATTTCAGCTTCAAAGAGCTCAGTGAAAACATATTGCATTTTTATTATTATGAGCTAATTCAGAGGCCTGGAGAGGGGGTAAGGGGTGGAGGTGGAGGTGGAGGTAGGATGGAGGGGGCTGAGAGGGTTCACACTGTGTGAGCTGTGTTGTAGTGATCTCAGTGGGACTTTCTTCCCTCCCCACCGTGCAGACTGCTTGACACTGCAGGCCCCATTTGCGCTGTTTGATAATAACACTTTAATGTGACTGCTATGACTGTCGCCAGTGGTCCACTGCATCTGTTACTCCCAGGGGAGAGAGGAGGGAGAGGGGGAGTGACTTCAAGTCACAATGCTGCACCGAGGCCACAGACACAACCACATCTGCCATTTACCAAAAAAAAGAAAATGTCAGTAGTGTCAACATGGCTTAAATCCATTCTGTACCCTGAGTACCTGAGTGTGTGTGAAACTATAGGAACTGATAAGATGAAATCTAATTATCCCTCTACAGAAAAGAGTCACTACAGCAGCAAATAATAATCCAAGGGTAAAAAAAAAATATATACAAATAATATCACAGCCAATAAGGACCCTTCCTTATTGGCACAACATGGCAAACTCACCAACTGTCGGTTATTGTTAAATACACAACACCAGTGTGTGTAAATTGTACAAATACCACAGAGATGAAAGAGACAGCATATACACTATGAATAAATATTATAATAAGGGCAGTATTTATATGAATGGAAATTAGTGGATTTTCAGCAAAAAGGCTAAATCAGACAAACATGAATTCCATAATTGAAAAATCTGAATTTGAAAGAGACAAAAACAAAAAACATGGGAAGCAACATTAAAGTTCTGCTGAATTTTAAAAAATCTCCTACAGTTTGATAACGAATTACAGTATTATGTAGTTGTGTAAAGTGTGAAAAAAATCAGCCGAATTGAACGCACCGCCTCTCACCTTTTATCCATGTAAACTGCTCTGAATTTAACACACAAAATCCCCTTTAAAATCAAGTATGGACAAAAATCCGGATAACCCCAGGTGGTATTCTGCCGGTCCAGGACTAATAGTGGGTGTGTTAATTGAATAGTGGACCCATAGGTGGTGGTCCCGCTCTGTGGTGTGTGCTGTATTGCTGTCTACCTGGGCTGTGCTGTTATCGGGGTCAAGGCGCGGCGCTCAGACAAGAGGCTTAAGCAGAGACAAGAGCCTTTAACACGAAATAAAACCATCAAAGTTCAGCTCTAATCCCCGCTGCTGTGGATAAGGCTGACTGTTAACGGGCTGCACAATAAACTCGGTTTACTCTAGGCGGGATGGCTTTGTGTGTGTGTGTGCGCGCTTTTTTTTTGTCAAGCTACACAATTCATCTCAGACAACACGGCGAACAGGATTTATTGGGGGGAAAAAGTCGAGTGGATTTCATCACCAGTGCGCTGTATTTAAAAAACACACCTTCCCCTCGACAGTGGGGATTTTACAATAAATTATCACGTGTGTTTGATGTCTGTAAATGACAGCAAGCTTGAGATTTTTAATTCAGAAGGAGAGCACAGGAGGAATAATTCAAGGGGAAGAGGAGGAGTGGACTCAGCAGGCAAAAATGTGACAAGCAGAGAATGGTGTCAAAAAGAAGTCCAACTTTGCTTTTAAATGTTAGTTTTTTAATTACAAAACTCAATTTATAAGTATTCTTTCATTTTAAAATATGCTTGTATCCTTAAGCCTAGTATTTCTGCCATTATGGCCCCATAAAACATATTGCTTCTGTGTATAGTTAAAGGAAAAGTGTTTAAATACTTTCAGCACCTTGGACAGCTCCACGTCCACCAGCTGTGTGTTTTACTTTGTGGGTTCCTTTTTAAAGAATATTTAAAAAATGAAGAAGTCACTCACATTCACACACTAAATCCACTGCACACGCAGACTACAATATAAAAAGGTTTAAATACATTTATGTGGGATTAAATTAAGAGAAAGTAATGAAATGAAATGAAAACTTTATTTGACACGCTTCATATTTGTTTTATTTCATAAAAGAATTCAGATTTTGATTACACCTGTTGGCAATGAGCTGAAATCCAACTGCTGAGATTTTTTTTTTTCAATTAGAAATAGAATATTAGAATATATAGCCTATGTGTACTGAAAATAAAATGAAATTAAACATGGCACCTCTGAATGTTGAAGGGGTATATTTCATTAGAGAGGAGCTGGATTTAGACTTTTTATATATGATTTGGCAATCTTAAATAGTAGATGGAAAATTGAAATGTGTGAAATGAGTCAGTGTCCTCTCTTTTTTCTTTTCCTCTATCCGTTTCTGTCGGGAAGAGGGAGCTGAAAGTAATAGTGTCTGTTTGCTGTGTCATAATAGTAGAATTCGTGGCAAAATAACGCACAGCAAAGCCTCACTCTGCGTGCTAATAACTTTGCACTAAAGTGCGTAAATTAAACTGTATAATGCCATATTTTCATTATTATAATCAAGAATAAATAAAAAAAGAATAAATCTCCACTTGGAAAACCTTTGAGGTTTAATTCAAACACAACCCAAACATTAAGGAGAGCTGCACTAAACTGAAACACTATATCAACATGTATGGTTTCTTTTACACTTGCCTGGTAAAATAACCAGTCACATAATGCTCTAACTGGAGTGTGTCACTGGGTCCCAGTCTAACCCGCTGTGGAGTGTGTCCTCTGCTATCCAGGCAGCAGCCTGACTGTGAACTTGGAGTTTTGGTTTGCTATGGCGCCCCCATGAGACGGTTTCAACTGCCTGCGCCGTTTAGTGATCGCGGTTTAAGCCACCAGTTTTCTTCAGTGTCCAAACAACAGCCTTCCAAATGTCTAAAAAGCTTTCATCGTCATCACACATTTTCCCTGCATGCGTGAAAGCTCGAGTTCCTCAGTAATGTAAAGCAACTGCTTTTTACGCACAGCGGTATTACGCACAGGGAGGACCCACCTGGTGCAAGTTTCACCGTCAAACAATTATATATAAAAAGTGTTTTGATCAAGTTTGGATCACACTTGGCATTTTATGCACTGTGCCATACAGCGAAATAACCCAGCAACCACGTCTCTCCAGCCGGGGTGTGAATGCGTTTGGAAATGCGCACGTTGCACGAGTGTGCTCTCACAGTGAGAAAATAATAACAATTATAGCATTTAGACTATCAGTCAGAGCAGTGTGAGAGTGGAGAAAGTTGAGATGAAAGTACAGGCTGAGTAGGAGAATCTAACTCACCAGGCAAAGTGCAGGCGTCAGGAGGAACACGGCGCACCAACACGTCACCTGCATCCTCCCGGAGCTCAAAGTTCCACTAATTTCCCTCGGCTGGTAGTTGCGGCTTTGCGGATCATAAATCCACCTGATATCCGCCTCACAGCACGGTCAAGCCCGTCAGCAGCCCAGGCAAAAAGGACACAACGCACCCCATGACCGCAGAACAAAGGTGAGAGTTGGAGGTTGGGGGAACAGGACGGAGGAGCCGGTGAGGAGGCTACTGCTGCTGCGGGCGGTGATGGTGGCAGAGGGGGCTGTGGGGGGGCGGGGGGGGGGGGGGGGGGGGGGGGGGNGGGGGGGGGGGGGGGGGGGGGGGGGGGGGGGGGGGGGGGGGGGGGGGGGGGGGGGGGGGGGGGGGGGGGGGGGGGGGGGGGGGGGGGGGGGCGACAAACAACGGCTACTTGAGGGTTAATCCAGGTAGAGTGAGCGGCAGGGTCATAGCTGTCAGCAGGTTCAGGTCCTGATTGTCTGATAGCTGGCGCGCGCAGCGGTCGGAGCGCTCCGATCTGAAGAGAACGGCGGGGCTTTCCGCTTTATAACACGCGCCCACAACACAACCAGAGAGACTCTCGCTCTAGGGGGGGAGGGACGAGATAAGGGGGGGAGAGAAAAAAAAAGGGCAGGAAAAGACGAATAAAACGAGAGGAGATTGGTCCAAGACGCAGCGAGGATGAAGAAAGCGAAGTTTTCCCACCTTCTCTCTCTCTTTTCTTTTTCATAAACAGGCGCTCGTGAGGGAAAAGCGTTTCACCTTGGCTGCTGGTTAGTGCGCTTGATGTAGATGAATGAGCTGACATTCAGAACTCCGCTGCCAATAACTCCAGGCAGCCCCAAACAAGAGAGCCTCAAACCTGAACAAATACAGCACAACAGCTGTTGTTCATGATGTAATTCCAATATATTAATACTCATCATCACTGTCAGAAGCTACTGTATTACTGCTAATAGTAATGCTACTGACAACATCCCCCACATCTGCTGAACATACCCCAGCTGCAAAAACCTCCATCTCATCAAATCATGCCATAAAAAACAAATTTCCCTAAAACAAGTGTAAAAAAAAAGAAGATGTGCTAGAATACAGAAAAATGACACAAACATCTTAAAGCTGCAATCCTTGAGACTTTTATTACATTAGACTCCATTTTTGTATTATTGATGGCTGGTATTTATTCTGCTATATTCATGTATTTCCACTCAGTAGCCACTTTTCAATAAAGTAGTTTATATTTCAGTGGCGGAGTCCGCCATTTGCGCACTGTGTAAAACTGTGATTGATAAACGGTGTCTTTTCAAACACAACTCTGGGGCTTGTCATTTCAAGACTGTTTTAGAAATACCACCAGAAACCACAGGTCTCACCCAATCAACCAGAAATCTTAAGGATTAATGGTTTAAGATTTTTGTATTAGTTTTAAGAGAAAAAGACTTAATGGAATATAATTATAGATCAAATACTTGATAAAACAGGGCTGGATTAACTTTCTAGGGTAGAAATGAGCCCCTGTCGAGCCACACAGCACAGGAAACCAACCAGTATATCTACACTGGATCACTGTCCTGCCCAGGGTTTAGTCTATGTCAGTTTCTAAAATTAAATACATGTTTGTGTGAGCATAATATCAACAACACAGTCAAGCCGAGAGTCGAGTTCCTCTATAAGACAGGGCCTCTTTGTTGGCTCAAAATGCATTAGACACCTTAGAGTCATCATCATTTTAATTTCCACACTAATATGTATAATCAGATATCTGCATTTGTATGCAGAATCTGTAATGTAGGCAATGGGTCAACATTTTGGTTGGGAAGCATACTGGTTTCCTGGTTTTTGTCTGAGTAGCACTGACCAATCAACTTTGAGCCGCAAGTAAACAGTCGGTGTGGAGAGGTGGAATGCACTGACTGAAATATAATCTCTGAACCCATCAGCTATCATCTGATGATGATTGAGCTTGATATGAAATTAGGGGTATGGAAGAGGAAGCATCGGCTCTGGATATCTGCTTGCTACACTGGACTTCTTAAATATTGGCTTTGGCCCCTGGAGGATTGTTGTCGTCAGATCAATAGTTGATGGGTTCTGAGACTGTTGCCACACAGGCAAACTAGGGCTTATGGACAGTTGTCAGCTTTGTCTGGATTTAAATTTTAACCTTGGATAAAAAGGGGAAATAATCTAATTATGTAATAAATGTCATATTTATTATCTTATCTGATGACAATTGAGCCAGTTCCACTGATGAAGATCATCAGATGTGGCTAAAAGCCCAGAAACTGATAGTATGCAGACCTTTGAGTTCAGACTATTTTGTTACTCATAAGAATGAGACTGCACATCTCAATAGATAAGGTCCAAAAAGTATTGTGTTTGTGTGTTTATATCTCTGAGTGAAAGCCAGTGTTTGTGTGTGTCTGCTCTGTATGCCAGCAGAGGCAGGACAAGGTGACTGAAGCCCTCTCAGATGCTGAGTGTGTGTTTCTGGGTTGGGGATAGATAGATAGGATCCTTTTTGTCGAGGAACAGAAGGGGCAGGGAGGTGAGCAGAAAAGAAAAGACAGGAGGGGCTGTGCTTTAATAAATCCCCAGCAGTCTCATTGCTACAACATTGCAGTGGTCAAGCATTGTCGCCATAACTCAGCCAGCAGGGCTGATGGGATCCTGCTCTGAATGGCCCAGATAGCCTTCACGGGCCCAGCATGGCATGCGGTGGTAGAGCAGGCTGAGATAAATCACCAGAGGCTGGCTGACTTCCATTGTGGCTGTAATAAAGCACAATCTGGTCCATGGTAAACTAAAGGGCCCATAATTCAGGATTAATGCAACATTCTCTCCTTGTTGATCAAAGATGTGTGATACAGATTTTTCCTGAAAGTTAACCTTTATTGGGATTCAAATGAGGCCTGTTTGAAGAAACTGAACCGGGAGCCTCAGTGCTGCAGGTTTGGCTAAAATGCCAAAGTCATCCAGGTCCAATAGAGTCGGAACTTGAAGGGACCCAGTTTAGTATTTTTAGGATTACATGTACGTTCAACAAATTCTCCCAGCTCATCAAGTACCGACGCTTGGTCAGTGGCCGTACATGTCAAACTATGATGCTCATGGTACCCTCCTGCGTCGGTTTTAGATGCTTAGGGACAGCTGTCAATGCACACTTGTTACATGCATCATGTCTTTTCAAAATAAACTTCTGTATTCACAATGTATAATTTGCACTAATTAAATGCAAATAGTCTTTTTCAAAATAAACATAGAATGTAGGCAAAAAAATGCCACACATACTAGCACACTACATTGTTATTAAAATGACCTGACTTATGGTTTCACATGGGACACAAACACCTGTCTCCTGGGTGAAAGTCTGAAGTTTGCTTGACTCTTGCATCCTTTGTGGATTTTCTCGCTCTTTATACTATGGCAGTTTTAAAATATTCCTCACCCCTACTGCCACTAAAGGGTGCCTAGATGTTACTGTATCTGACCAAGCATTAGTATTTGACAAGCTGTACCTCATAATTTATGTCCAGTGCCAATGTTCAGTGTTAGTGCAGGAGGTAGTGTGTCCTTTATTTAGGGTGTGGCGACTGCGGTGGTGAAAGAGCAGGTTGTGCATTCAACTTTCGGAGAACAGAGCTTGTGTTTTGTCACAGACCTTTAATCAGTGGTCGCTTGCTTTTGAATTGTTCAGTATTTGCAGAATCATCCAGTATCAACGTTCTTCTCTGCCGACAGGGTTGCCATATTAGGCCTTTCACCCTGACCCTTACCAAGTACCTTAAATTCCCCTTACCCTAACCATAGAGTGGTTGCCATGTGCAGACACTGAAGAAGGGAAAAAAAGAATGTTAAATCTGGCAGTTGGGTGAAGGACCATGCCAGATATTTCATATTTTTTGTTCATTTATTGAATCACAGACTGAGTCACTGCTTTTTTTTAATCACACCACCACTTCTTTTTCTTTCTTTCATTCTTTTAAATGTGCTTTCTTAATTATCAGCTACTGGCTTCCATTCACTTTACTTTGATGTACAATATGCATAGACTTGAAATGTACTTGACTAGACAAAACATCAAGTGAACATAGTTCTATTGTATTACAAGACATTACATTAATATAAAGATGCTTCTGTCCAAAGTCACTTACAATAAGTGCATGTAACCTCCACAGGAAAGGGAGCTAGATGTCATTGCATCTTTCCAACAAACAGCTAAGAGTATGTTCAGTGGTAATGAGACCTCGTGGATGCATATTAGGTTTGTGTAGTGATGCAGCTGTCAGTGCTGCACACTGCATTATCATATAATCATGAAGTGACATTGATAAAACAATAAGACATGTTCAATTTTCAAGTTGATTTCCTGTTGGATTAGTGAAACAAAAAGAAAGAACCATGGCTGCCTGCAAGGTTGGAAAACACACAAAATATTTTTGGAATAAACATGTAATGTTTTATGAGACAGTGAGCAAGGATGTGTATTACTTGTACTGGGTGAAGCAGGCACTTTGATCTAGGACACTTTTGCTTTATTATCTTCTCTTAAATTTAATATTCATAACAAGATCTGCCATTTTGATCTACTACATTCATTCAGCTTGACATCATGTTCATGCAGATTTATTTTTGGGGGAGTGGGGAAGATTATTTAGTCTTGTTTTGCTCTTACGAATCAGTAGCCAGTGACATGTCCGTCTCACCAACATTACTTTCAGTGCCACAGGATCTCAAGTGGCAGCAGTGGCCAGTAGCAGTGGATCTTTTTCCGCACCAAACCAAGAAATATGTTACTTCGAAAGGTCCAGTGTGCAGGATTTAGGGGGAAATATTTGCAGGAATGGTATAAAATATGATAAGTACATTTAAATTAGTGAAAAATCACCTGAGATGGGGCCTTTTTGCACTTTCGCACTTGCCACTGTAGTTAGAGGGTCATCTACAATGAGCAGTAAATAGCTGGATCCATCTGATTTTGAGAGGAAGAGACCTCTGCTGATAATCAACCTCCTGGTAAAGACCTCCTAAACAATAAACACTGAAGGAATCCTAACTGGGAGTTCACACTTGGCACATGGCAGAAATTTCAGCTGGTTGCAATCCCCAATCCTCACCACTAGATGCCACTAAATCCCCTTAAATCTTTCTCACCAAACCTTTCAGAGTTTATCTGTAAATCAGTTTACAACAGCCTGTACTGCTTCATCATCTCATCTGCACATGCCACCATTTTTGTGTCAGCTTCTGTCACTATTTGTCATGG